TGCTGCTGCTGCTGCTGCTGCTGCTGCTGCTGCTGCTGCTGCTGCTGCTGCTGCTGCTGCACCGGCAGCAAGCAAGCACACCGCCGCGGGGGGCGCGGTTTGCATGCAGCGGGGGAGCGGAAAGGGAAGGAGAATTAAATGTTTTTAATTGCAGTTGTGGAAAGAAAGAAATAAAGAAATAATAAAGAATTGCAAACGGAGCAGCAGCAACTCACCCTGTGGGGAGGCTGCTGCTGCTGCTGCTAGCAGCAGCAGCAGCAGCAGCAGCAGCAAATTAATTAAGAATAAACAAATTCAGATTTTTTATTAAATGCATTTAAGTTCTTTTAACTCGAATTTTATTCCAGAATTAGAAAGCCAGCTTTGTCTGAAGACCCCGCCGGCCGCAGCTGCTGCTGAGGGGCAGCAGCTCCGCCCGTCGGCCTTAACTCCGCAAAAGAATTAAAATAATAAAATAAAAGTTTAATTTGTTTAAATTTATAAATAAAAATTAGAAATAGAAATAAATAAAACCCAAACGAGCTCCCGAGAACGGCTGAGGAGGAGCGTGCGGCGATGCAAACTCCGCGTTTTCCCGATTTCCTCCGCCAATTTCGCCATTTAATCCTTCAACAAGCCATTTAAATGATAAACAATTCAATTATTAAACTATTTAATCCTTTAAATGGTTTGAAATCCTTTAAATGGTTCGTTCCGGAGTTGCTGAACGAGTCGCGAGAAACCGAGGTGTACAGACAGACAGCCGCGTGAGCTGCGCGTACACCGGAACTGCGCGGAGCTGCGGTGTACGTACACCTCAGACATCCAGCGTGTTGGGCGAAGGCCTGTCGTGGCGTTTGGCATATTCTTCTCCTCCTTTTTGTTTCTTTTTAATGAATTCACTCAGAGGAAGCCAGGGTTTAGGTTGTTTGTCCATTTTTTTGAAAAAGTGTTTTCGAATTTGCTGCTGCTCCGTTTCGCTGCTGCGCACGCTGGGCCTGCCCTGTCTGTACACCTCGAGTTCGTGCTCGTCGATCCGCGTCTGCAGCAGCTGCTGCTGCCGCTGCTGCTTGCTGTACTCCTCGTGCTGCTGCAGCAGCAGCAAGTTGCGCAGCAGCAAGTGCACCTCCGTCACCTGCCGCGCTGCAGCAGCTAGCTGGCTAGCTAGCTGTGGGGTGGGGTACACGCGGTGTATGTACATCTCCCGCAACACTTCTATTGTCCTTTCTCGAGACTGAGACAGCAGAGACACTTCGAGCGACAGCCGCAGCAGCGACGGACTCTGCGTCAAACAACGCTCCCCCTTCCTGCTGCTGCTGCTGCTGCTGCTGCTGCTGCTGCTGCTGCTGCTGCTGGTGCTGGGGCTGCCTTCCTTCTTGAGAAAGTCCCATAGGGCAAAGTACCTTCCGGGGTCTTTCAAGTCCGAGCCAAACATTCTGAATTACAAACCCCCACCAAACCCTAAACCCTCGCAAACCCTCGTGCAAAACCCTCCTGCTAAACCCTCACACACTCCGCCATAAACACTCGCAAACCCTAAAAAAGGGTTTCGAGCTCCACCGCACCATGTACTTAACCCCACCCTACACTTTCACGGAGGAACCCCCTCAAACCCTAAAACAGGGTTTTGGACTCCGCTGGCCACTGAAACCCTTCCCAGACCGTAAACCCTAAACCCCTCCCAGACCCCAAACCCTCCCCAAACCCCAAACCCTCGCCCCTCCCCCTCCCCACCCCAAACCCTAAACCCTAAACCCTAAACCCTAAACCCTAAAGCCTGCCTGAGGAGAATGGCGTAGGTCTGGTTGTTGGGTTTGAGTCCGAAGTCCTGGAAGTGGCGAAGCAGGTCAACTGCAAACTGGGGAAACTTGGAGTGTCTGTACACCTGAAGCAGCGCGTTGAGGGTGGAAGTGTGGGGTCTAAACCCTTGCATGCGCATGCACTGCAGCAAGTGCCAGCTGCAGCGGACGTTGCTGCTTCTTTCTTGCTGCGAAGCCCCCGGCAGCAAACTTGCTGCAGCAAACAGCAGCAGCAAACTCCGGTAGCTGCTGCTGCACAGTCTCACTCCTGCTGCTGCCATTTGCTGCACCACTCTCCGCGCTCTCGCCACGTCCCCCGCCGTCGCGCACGCCTGCCCCAAACCCCAAACCCCAAACCCCAAACCCTAAACCCTAAACCCTAAACCCTAAACCCTAAACCCTAAACCCTCCCCAACCCCCAAACGCTGGCTGCGCGCGTGGTTTTCGCGCGTTCGCGCGCCGTGGCGGTCCCGCGGGCGCTCTACGCTCTCGGCTCTCGGCCCTAGGGTTTAGGGTTTAGGGTTTAGGGTTTAGGGTTTACCTTGAGGAGGAGTTTGTAAACCCTCGGAGAAGCCGGCATGCCCTCCGCTTGCATCTGGTCGAAAACCCTAAAGGCCTCGCGGCAGTGGGACTTTGCTGCTGCGCATGCAGCAAGAAGTTCAGTGTAAGTGAGGTCTGTGGGGCGGACTTGGGACTGCAGCATGTCCTGCAGCAAAGCTGCT